GCACAGCTGCCAAGCACTTTGCGGTAAGAATATATATATATATAAGGTATATTTAGTCGCATATGAATCGGGAATGGGCTGCCCAATCGCCATCGGAATGCTTTGCTCGATTTATGGCAATTTTAAGTCAGACCATCCGAAATATAGTTTCGTGATTAATATAGAATTTAAGTCTCAGAAATGCACAGATAAATTATGCGAAGCATTTCATTTGTGCGCCGAAAATATTCGACTGAATATTTCTAATAAATTATTCGTATAAATAAATATTTTCCTCTTGCAATTTCGAGTTTTTGCTAAGCAATGGTTATTATGTTTAGCCATAGCAGGGCATACACCACTATGTACTATCAATCAATGAGATTGGATTTCCTTTTGGTTCAAAGACCTGACATCAGCAGTGTCCTTGTCTCTTTTATCTCCTGCTAGTCGCATCTCATAAAACGTATTTTCAACTTATTTTCCAATTACCAGATCCAATTGCTACCCACCTTTTCGCTGGCCCAGCACAAATGCCAACAAAAGACCAGATACAAACACACGTTGACTTAATCCGAACCAGGACAGGGCAAATGCATATAGATTTTCTCGACCACAAAATGGTTTGGCCAAATGGTTAGTTGGGTTGGGGGAAGGAAAGCTAATTGGTAAGATGGCGTCACAATGAAAAGTGCCATTGCTTTCTCTTCTCTTTTTGGTTTTTGCAAGGCAAGCCAGAAAAACAATCCACCCAGTAGCTCGAGGAGGTGATTGGTGATATACAGTACAACTTGTTTAAAATGTACTTTGTGGTTGAAGACATTGTAGAGCACTTAATAAAGCAATAGGTAATATGATATATACACAAGTGCAATTAGTCAAAGGTTTTGTAATGTAAATGTTGCAATGCCTGTCAAATGAATCAGTACACGTTTTGGCACACTATTAGTGATCTAAGACTCTTTTGTGGCAGATACTTCCATGACACCGTCATGTAACTGGAACTTGCAAGGCAGCAATATGATTATAGCTGTCTGTTGTTCAACTCTTTCATCAAATTTAAGCCGAATTTCCGCAAACTATTCATCGCATTTCCCGGACGAGATTCCCATTCCCATGGATGGTGGTCTTGAGCCGTCTATTTATAGGGAAAAATTCCTCTTTGATGTCTCGCACACAAAGCCCGTTCCGATGTTCAGTTGGCCATGTCGGGAATTATTATTTTCCGTTGGTGGCCTGCATAAAGGAAAATTCCCTTGCCCCGTGGCGCACTCGCACACACAAATCATAAAAGCTGCTTAGCTGTCCTTTCGTGCATGTCCTGGCCAACTTAGGGACACAACTTGCCGAAAGGAGCAACCGCCGAAGGAGAAGGAGACCCCCAAAGAGGCTAATGTGAATGTGGCCGAAAAAGTGTTGCTATAAATAACCTTAGACTTGGCCAGTCTCCATCCCCTCTCACTCTCTCTCTGTCTCTGTCTCTGTCTCTGTCTCTTTCCTAACCTTATATTCCTTATAAATATGCATATAAAGAGTGGGTTGGCGCTAGTGTTTGGGTTACATAGCATGTACACATGCCAACTTTTGTCTGCAGCGAAAAATCAAGGAAACAAAATAAAAACAGCATTTTCTTTTTTCCTCGTTTTCCCTTTGCTTTTGCCCTGGAAATGTGTAATATAAAGGGAAAGAAAAGCCGACGGCAAGTGTGTCATGCATACACTAGAGTGAAAAATCGGAAGCCGAGGAAAAACGAAACAAACCAAAAAATTATGCAGAACTTTTTGACAGTCCGCAGTCCTTTTCAGTTTTCTTATTTGCCATTTCCTTTGTTGTTTTTTGTCAGTAGAAACTTATTTTTTTTTTTTTGGGTCTAAAACTTTGGATATTTGGAACAAGCAGAGCAACTTAAATTGATACGGATTAAAATGACATGTGTGCATAAACTAAAAAAAAATCTAAAAGGATTAAAGAAAGCTCTCTCTATGGCTGCCTTAGTCTTGAAATTCTGAAGCAGCTTTGCCTGAATTTGAATTTTTGTTTAAAAATGTTTTTGTTTTGTGATTTTCATCACAGAAATTTTGTATTTCTTTAGCAGAAACGAAATAACACAAAATGCTTACCAAATGTCAGTCATGGTTATGTATTTTTAAAATAAAAAATTAAATAAACTTGGAAATTTGTTAAGAAAGAAATAAAACTATCAGGTTTTGTTTAATGGGTTTAAAATATTGATTTACTATCTGTATCTCAGTCTTATATACATACCTTCTTAACTCACCTTAACCTTCCTTAAAACCATTTAGGAACCAAGGTCTCAATAGCTTTGACAAGACCTTTGGCACATTGAAAGGAAAAATAATAAAGAATGTGCAACGCAGATGTTTTTCCTTTTGAGAATTTGCTCATGAAATTCCATTCACACACAAACCCATACGAAAAGCTTGTTAAACGAGACAAAGAGGAGGTAATACCAATCTCCAGCTTCACTTTGGGCCATGTTCCTTCCCCCCATCCAGCAGCCAACATCTTCAATAAGAACGCCCACAATTTGTGTATATATTTTTTAAGGATTTCAAATTCATTTTATTGGTTTTTTTTTTTTTTTGTTTGTTTGTTTCTTTTCCTTTGTGTTTTCTTGTTTCTCTTCCTCTCCTCTTTAAACCATCATTTTACTTATAATTCTTTTACTTTTTCGCAAATTTGTTTTTTATTGTATGCTTGTTTGTTGTGTTTGTTTGTTTGGTTGATTTTTGTTTGTTTGTTTTGTTTTTTTTTTTTCTTTAAGATTTTGCATCTTATTTGTTGGTTTTTAAATATATATATATGTATATATATTTGTATATATGCACTTGCTATATAAACTTAAATGTATAAACTAAATTAAATAACTTGAATTTTGCTTTCTCATTTTCTTGCGTTCTGGTTCTTGTCACATATATAATATTCATTTATATATATATATATTTATTTTTTTGTTAATATGTACCTCGCACGCACTCACATGAAACAACAACGAAAAGGATTTCTCTCAACTGGCTTACATAACCGAACAAACTGTTTGACTGAAAGGCAAAACTTTAGGAGTTAAACTAAACAAAAAAAAAAAAAACAAGATATTAGAGTAGAGTAGAAATTAGTGCATAGCATAATGTATATATTTAATACAAAAACGTAAAGCATTCAAATCGTTAGTCAGATAGTAAAGCTCACATCGGGCTCCTCAGATAATGTATCTGCACTACATTTTTTGAAGAGCAGTGCTAACAGTTATCGTTAAAAGTTAACTAACACAAGACAAAAATTGCACAAAATTATAGAACGACTCTTTCTCTCTTTTCTTACTGCACATATGTTTCGAATATATATATATATTTACTTTTTTTTACTTTTATATCCACATTAAATTTTTTATGCTCAGACTACCGTAGATTATTTTGTTTGTTGTCAGTGTGTGTGTGTGTGTGTGTGTGTGTGTATATGTGTTTGTTTGTTTTTGGTGTAGGTGACTGAGAAAAGGACACAAATTAAAGGATCGGCGATAGTTCGGCACACAAACAAGTCGGAAAAACACATAAACATGTGTATGTTTCATAAAAAGGGGGAGACAATATTTGTTTGTGATGTGAACATTTCGTGGCTACAAACATCGTCATCTTTTCTTGCTCGATTCGGTTTTTGTTTTTACTTTGTTTACTTTTTTATTTACCATTAAATTTAGATGCTTAATTAATGCCTATTTATGACTTTTGTCTCGCAACTAGTTGAACAAATAATCATAGAAAACATAAAAAGTATTTATAAATTAATTTTATTTGTTACGATCCCGAGTTGCTCTCGCTCTTTATATATCTCCTCTCCTCTCCTCTCCTCTCTCTCTCTCTCTTCTCACAACAACAACATAATCTAAAAGTATTGACTTTTAAAAATAAATAATAACAGGGAAGGGTATACACGGAGAAGTGCCATTTAAAAAAAAAACTGAAAGGTAACAAATTTCGATATCTCTCTCCAGCGGGCAATTAAAAAATCAACTCCACTCCCTCTACTCCTCCGCACATAACGAAACAATAAATATACTCCCGATCGATATTTACTTGAATATAACTGCTATATAGTTGCCTTTTTCTCTTCATTTCTCTTTCTCTGATCTCTCCTCTCTGCTCTCCACTCCAAATAATTATATACTTAGCACATGATATTCTCGATTTTTTTTGTTCTTCATCTTGGTAAGTAAGTATAATGCTTCAATCTTTGTGTATATATAGACATGACTCCGTCGACATCTTGGGCATTATCCAACCGCTTCTTCTTTGATTTCATTAATGCTAAGTTTTATACGTTTTATACACACAAATTTCAGTTGATTTTTTTTTTTTGTTTTCTTTTTTGTTTTTTGTGGCTTAAATGTAAACATTTAGATTTTGTTTTTTTTAGTTTTTTGTTTTACTTTATATATATATATATTTTTCTTGCTGCGTTTCAAATGTTTCTTGTTGTTGTTCTTGTTACTTTTACTTGCTTTATAGGTTGTGTGTGTGTTTTTTTAAGTTGCGATTAGTGTTTTGGATGGATAACTATTTATGACTGAGTGCGCATATTTGTAGGTGCCACTGTTGAAATGATTCTGATTATGTTACTGATTCTGATTCTGTTTCCGATCGGTTGGTTTATTGTTGCACGTCGTCGCTGATTGTACAACATTTATATACGCGAATATATATAAATATCTAGAGACATGTCTACGCTAAAGACGCCAAATTGTCTGTGGGGGGCTATGTAAGAACTCAAGCTCGTTTAGCGGGAAGGAGCTCGGGGCAAGAGAGCGTTTCAGTGGATCTGGCTGGTCAAATCCGGACTGATTTCACCTGGCCGGACAAGTGTTCTCATTTGAGGGCTTCAGTTTCAGCTTCAACACGTTTCTCTTGCTCTTCTCCCGTACAAATTACATTTTTAATTTATCGTAAGATTTGCCTGCTTCTTTGTTTGCTTGTTGTTGATGTTTCTTATGTTGTTTGTTGTTCTTTGTTGTTGTTGTTGTTGTTCTTTCTTTTTTTTTTTTGTCAAGCACACTGTGTGCGCCATAATTTTTGTGTTAAATTTAACCTTTTGTATTTAATTTAAAAATTATTAAAGCGTTTTATACTCTTCTCAACTTGTTGTTTCTGCAGCTGACTGAGTGACCGATCGATCGATCGAAATGAAATGAAATTCTTTAGCCCTGGTTTAGATGACAATTCTCCTGGATTTCCTCTTAAGTTGTTCTCTCTTTACTTTGTTTTTCTCTAAGTGTCTTCCATTCACTTTCGCTTTGCACTTGCTTCTTCTGTTTGCTGGTTCTTTATCGGTTTCTCTTGTATTCTTTAGTTAAGACTAAGCTACGTTTACAACTAAATATCTGTAGTCTCGTGGTTAAATACGCTATATGTTATGAATGAATATTAATGTGTAAGTCATTATTTTATCGGTTTTCTATATCTTGTTTCGGTATCCGGATTTCAAATCGTCTTCCAAGTCCTTCCACTCGGCTTCTCTCGCACACACACGCCAGATGAAAAGTTGGTTCCGGCTGTGTTTCTCTCTTTTTTTTTTATATCTCGAACTGTCCCACTTGAAGACGGAGGGAAATGCTAAAAAAAAGAAGAAGAAAGAGACAAAAAGTGTTAGTTGTGTCTGCAAACTCAATCAAGCATACATTTGCATAATTCACAATTTATTGAGCTCGTCTCGATCGGCTTTGACTTCTTCCGATACGATCCGGTCCGGTCTTATAGCCACCCAACCTTGACTGGGTCTCGGACTGTACTTCCTACTCGGGTTTCTTAACCTCTGCCGCATATCAAATTAAGCTCAAGCAAACCCACTAACTCATTCAGCACACAAAACTACCAAAAGTCACAGCGAATCTATTCTATTAATATGTTTAATTTGTCTTGTGGCTATTTCTCGTTTCTCGACAAGCTCAGGGTGTTCAGCTGGGTCAAGGTCGTTTCTATGAGTTTAAGGAACCAAAGAACTGGGTTGAGTGAACGTATTTCGGTAACTAAACTTAGTTTCTATTAAATAAAAGTTGTACTTAAGTGCTTAAATTCAAGTTTAGCTTTGAAACTCTACACTTGACTAGCTAAACGATTGATAGATTGTTCTGTAACCCCTTTAATGGCCTCATAAATATATCAAGTTGTAAAACAGGCTCCAATTGAGGACGGTTCTTGCAATCATGACAGTTGAACGATAACTGCGCTATTGCCACTTCAACTGAACACTTTATACCGCGCCACTCCCACTCCCACACACAGAGAGAGAGACAGCGGAAAAACTCCCGCGGGCTGGAGAAATTTTCCCATGTCCTCGGTCATATTGGCATGTTAAAAGTTTTATAGTTTTTTTTTTTTGCCTTATCAGCCCGGCACATGCTTCGCTGCTCCACTACCTACACAGCCCCACCCCCTACTCAGAGGCATCTCATGACGTAAGCGAGCCACAGCAGCGTGCTATATTAAATCTCTTATACGAAACACACACTCACACACCTACAAGCCAACGTAGAGTGTGTGTAACAAAAAGAATAACATGATAAAAAATATTTTCAGGCGGCGTTTTATCGCTGAAACAAAAAGCGCTGCCGCTGCACCCACGCAAAGGTAGCCGTATATCTATATCTTTTTATATATACAGATACAGATACACACACGTTCGGTTAGCCGAAACCGGAGAGGTGCAGTGTACTCAGGTAACGTATGTGAGTTGATGGAGTTTGGCATTGAATTTACAAGAGATCTTTTGTCTGCCATTGTCTCGAATTACATAAGCCAAAAAAGTAAGACAAAAAACCACAAGCGATTGCAATATGAGGAGGAAGTACGTGAAACAAGTAACAAAACTAATGGACGCGTACAGAAGAAACTTTCACCCAACCAACGATCGACACACTGGCCTTGAAGCTACCCTAAAAAGTGACCAACCAACCAACCTTAATGTACAAAAATTTAAGCCTATTTAATATTGACATCAAACTCCAAAGGCTTGAAAATTACCCAAAAGATGAACCACTAAAATATTCATAACTTCTCTTTGTTGCATAAAACATGCAAAGAGTTGCTTTGAACAAATCTGAAAACTCATTCGGTGTAACAAGTTTTCCAAGAACTTCAAACTCAAACTTCGAGAACTCAGCTGTATTGGCTTAATTAGGGGCAAAACTAGCGCCAAACTAAATGGAATGGTGGCAGGTGAATTCTTGGCAACATATTTGACCTACACGCAATGACAAAAATGTTGCCAAAAAGAACAATCAAAATACATTTCGGTATATATTTATTTATAACAGACGGCAGCGGATACTTAAATCATATGAAAAATAAATTAATTTATATAAGATATAATTTTTTCTCTTAATTCAGCCCCTTCACACAGCTTAGCGTCAAAAGACGAAAAACATTTCAATAAATCAGCCAAAAAGCAAGACAACCAGAGTGGACAAGCCGAAAATATCTTAAGATATATATATATACTGTTTATATATATATGCATATACAATCTATAAATGAGTGTATTTCACAGAGAAATATATCTATGAAAATATTACGAAAATAATGTTCGACCAGCTGTCGCCTCAATGTCTTGCCCCATAAAAATAACTCCGTGAAAAGTACTCTCTCATACTCCACTCGCGAGACTTTTTATTATGTTTCTTTTGTTATATAAATTATTTACATATTCCGAAGCTTATAAATATTGCAAGCCGCCCACGTACAAACGCTGTATATAAATACAAGCCATTCACGATTTTTCACTTTATTTATAGTTAGCTCATTCATTTGCCTCGACCAACTCAACCAACTCAACCAACTCGGCCAACTCTGACTCACTCCCAAAAAAAATCCTACAAACGAGCTTCCACATTCCACCCATTCAGTTAGCCTCTTCTGGCCAAGGAGTCAGTTGCCGAGTTTCCCTTGTCGGTAATTACGCATTTTTAAAATGCAGTCTGTGTTTTGTAGCCATCAAATATTCAAAGGCTCCAGGCAAGGGAACTAACACAGCTTTTGAATGTCGGGGTGATGTGGATAACAGCAGAAATGGAATGTCACGTTGTCCCAATCCTTCGTTTCTAGTCCCAGGTTGCCCCGTCGTTTGGCCTTTTCTAAAATGCACAGAACACTAAACACACACACACACACACACACTCAGAGAGGTAAAAAGAGTAGAGTCAAGCCAGTCCAAAGTCAAAAACTATGTCAGGAATCTTCAGGGCCTGCCAAACATGCTTAAATCTGCCCTACAATTTCACATATTTCGGAGACAACACAAGAAGCCCAGTTGTGTTATTTTCGAAGCTAGATTGGACCAGGTTGGATAGTGTTAATGAAAGGGGATTCCAGGAGGTACCAGAGGTAGGAAAATACTGTTGCTAGCTCAGATGAAAAGTTGCCTCTGAAAGCTTAGCATTCTTGATTAGAAAGATGCTCGCATCGATAGATTCATATCCTTTGAAATGTTTTTGTGAGATATAGTTCTTCCGTCTATCATTGCTATAAATTCGAACAGCCCAATCTAAGAAAAGCTTTACGTAATTAAACGCGAAACTAATCTCAGCTAAGAAAAGCCTAATCAAAGCTTAAAGGCGCCTTAAATAACTGAATTTAGAACATATCAAATCGCATTAATTAGACGAAATCGAATCAATCTCCTTTTTCTAATCTCTGATTGGCATTATTCCCTTTAATATAAATCCCCTTGGAATGCTTTCAAATTAACCATTTCGCTCTTTGACCCCCAGCCCTTACACTTGAATGGACTTCGTCACTGGTCAGTCAGCGGAAAGCTCATTTTTCCCTCTTGCATTGACTCTGGTCTGGGGTTCAATAAACGCCAAATAAAAAGAAGTCTGCAATTTGCAATTCACATTCGGCGCTTTTGTTGTTAACAATTCAGTTCTGCTCATTCTCACATCCCAGACACACTCGCTTTGAACCTTTCAACTTTGTTTAATAACAAAACAAATGCAAGACGAGTGCAGAAGGAAAAAGATCCAAGAGAAGTGAAATAAATGGCGAATGAAAGAACACAGAATTGGAATGCGAGTGTGGATCGGCATGCCAATTATCAAGGCGCCCTCCCATCGATACTTGGCCACTGCTCGTAAATCAAAGTGTGGAAAAGTTTTTGGGGCATTGGGAAAGTAAAAAAGAAATAAATGGACAGAGAGGCTCTCTTTGGCCGTATCTAATGTCAATAAACTTTTTGGCTTTGAAATCAAATCAATTTTCATGCCAAGCGAAAGCGGGCAGACATCGTGATAGGGCAGGAAAAGCCGAAAAGGCGAGGATGAGGCCGCACAAAGAAGGGAAAATCGATGTTGGCCCTCAAGACAAATCAATTAAAAGGAAATTTCATGTATATTATTCTCTGCTGAATTTTACATTTTCACGTCTCCATCGAGCCGAAAGAAAATGTCAACGAAACGAAACGAACTGAACTGAAATGAACAGGAAACGGAAACATGACAACGGAGGAACGAAAGGAGGAGGGTGATGGGTAGCGGGAGGGAGCAAAGTACAAGATTGGGAACTGAAAAAGCTGATGGGCCAACAACACAGAAGCGCAAATTAAAAGTAAATTTCAATTTTTGCAATGACATTGTCACTGTTTTTGCCGCCGCCACTGTCGCTTTTTTTTTCTTTTTTGTTGTAACAAAATTAACTACGAAAGTAATTAAAGACCAGGGGCAAGGCAGGGCAAGATTGGGTAGGCCATGATGGACAGAAGGGATTGCCGGGGCTGGGTCAACCGGTGCCCGCAGGGAAAGCAGCGGAAAGGAGGAGGAGGAGGAGCGTTCCTGGGCTGAGAGGTGGCCATAAAGAGACTCAACTTGTCTTGCGCGCGCATGATGGCAATTAACATTACACACTAACGCAGCTACAAGCGGTGGGCGGTCCAATAGTTTTGGGCCTGAATAGCTTAAAGAATTTTTGAGATAAACAAAACATTAAAACTACTTCAGTTTATCGCAATCTTGTGATATTCAAATGAATCATGACTTTTATTATCTTAAAAAATCGAATAACAAAATATTATAATAATTTTATATCTACAACCTTCCAAATCATATTAAAATTATATTATGGCATTAATAAAAATGATATTTTCTAGAAAAATTTTGCATCGGTATCAGCATCTAGATGACCTTTATAACTGATGAGCATTCGGTTGGAAATAAATATAATAAAACTGAATTGGTTCTTGAATGTCAAATTAATTAATTATTTGAATGTGAAAAAACATTACACACAGTAAAAAGTTAGCCTATGTTCTGCAAAAGATATAAATAAACTATAAACTAAATTATGAATCGACCCTCGCCTGCCGTCCACCCACTCACAGGCAAAGGAAGCCACTGAGGATAATGGAGGGGGTGGTCGAAGATGGGCAGAGGCTTACACGCAACAACGCCGCCGGCGACATGGCACACAATTTGTGTGCTGCAATAAAATAAAATTAAAATTTGAAACAACTAAGGCGGCAGCAACATTGAAACATTCAAGCTAGGGGATGGGCAAGAGAGGGGAGGCCAGGTTAGGGGCGAGATGAGTGGGTCAAAAAATTCAGTGGGAAGCTGTAGTTATGT